TTGTATAAAAAATATTTAATAGAATTTAAATAATAGAATTTATTTAATTTATTTTTAATCAATTTGCTGCATACAAAAGTGTTGTGTTTAAAATTTTTTTAATTTAAGAGTACAGGACACATTGTTCTTAAGTCAATGAAATATTATTTATATTAAATAATAAAATATATTATCAAATAAATCATTAAAATAGAAAAAAAAAATACATTCACTTTGATTATAATTTTATTGAATTAATAGATTTTTGAAATGCTTTATATTAAATTATATTAAAAATTCACAAATTTATAATAATTAAAAACAAAATAAATACATTGACTTCAATTATATTTTTATTGAAACAATAGATTTTTAGACCACCTCAGATTGATGTTAATCTTGTTAAAAGTTCACAAATTTATGCGCTTAAAATATATCTAAAGAGGTTTAATATTTCCCTCAAATCTATTTATACCAATTGCTGAGCAGCTAATGCGACATTATTAACACAAATGTCTTTTATTATTATGAAAATAAAACTCTTCCAAAAAAAATAAAATAAAAAATATATACATATATATAATGTTCTCATAATAAAAAAAAATCTGCTGTCGAATTCAAATTCACCTTTGAATGCGCGCAAAGCTGATTGAGTCGACTTTGGCTTACTTATAGAATTAGCCGGATCCAAGACGCAGGTTGCTCGAGTCGCCCTCGTTTTGTAGTCTTTTACTTTGTATGGCGCCCTGGGGTAGATAAATCCTTACCCGCTCAACTTTAACCCTAGACTCGCGCTGCCTCTACTCCATTCTCTCTCTCTCTCACTCCCTCTCTCTCTCTCTGTCTCGCTCTGTCTGTTTGTGTGCATTAAAACGCGCCGCATTCAACTCGTCAACTGCTCATCTAATTTTCATTCAACCCGCAGGGGCCACCCAACAAATGTTTGCAACTGACAACTTTGGCCCGTTAGACAACTGCCACGCCCCCAGTCCACGTACCCACACCGATTTTTCTTAACATTTGCCAAAGTTGTGTGGCTCATCGAACCACCACGCGAGCTAATTGAAATGTCTGTCAACGCGAATTGATCGCAAAAACTAAATGCAACTCAATCAGCGAAAGTTTTTGCTCAAGTTTCGACATGTAGGTTTGGGCTACAGCCCCAAACCACCCCCAACAGCACCCACCCACACCTCTGAGGTAATTAAAAGCCCACAGACAATTAAACATAAATTATGTATTAATAATTTCTTTGACCAGAAAAAAAAAAAAATAACAATGCAAAGAGGAACTTGAAAAAGAAAAAAAAACTTGAACTAAACTGTGATTCAGCAAGCTGACTAAGATCTGTTTCTGTTTCTTTGGAGTTGTCTGGGCAAAGGAAAAAAATAAATAAAAGAAAAATATATTCACTGCTTCAGCAACAACATGAAGAAGAAGAAGCAGCAGCGGCAACATTTTCATACAACAAACAAAACATTGAAACGCTTCCCACGCGCCCAACAATAGTGGGAGAATTTTTGAATGCTTTTCCATTGGCAACACAACAATCAAAGCAGCTGCTGGGGGGTGTGGGGGCGAGGGGAGAGCTTTTCGTATGAGAACAGGGCTAGGGGCTGGGTGCAAACTCTTTTGCCACATGCAACAGCAGGTCGCCAACGCAACGTACAATGGGCCAATTTATTGAGCAAATATTAGCTAGAACAGCACAAAAGCAACTTAAAGCTTCGACTGAGAAGCTTTCGGATTGATGTTGCGAATTGAGAGATACTTGAAGAGCTTTGCATTTAAGTAGAGTTTTTAAAGTAATTAAATGGCAAGTCGAAGAAACTTGCGTTGGTTTCTAATATTTGAAAGAAATTTGTAAGGTTTTTAGAATTAATTCTTTAGTTTGAATACAAAATAAAATAAATGTCTACACTTCTCTAGTTAGGTATTGCTAGGTATATATATTTATTTACTTACCTAGCTTATGAGCAATACCTAACTAGAGATTAACAATCCTGAAGCTTAAAAGCCTTAAGATCAATTCTATTTAGTTATATGATTTAATCCAAGCCTTAACGCGCATGCTCTAATTAGCTACAAAAACTAATTAAAATAAACGCTTATGCTTAAAGCAATTTTTCAGATAACTTTAAGTTTTTATTTATTTAGCTATTATTTTTGTACAACATTCAATTTATTTGCTTAACCCTTTACACATATTAGCTTTATTATTAAAACGTACGCAAAATATTTTGCACAAGTTAAGAAATAATATTTATTTAATTTTGCATTTTTTTAAGTTCTAATAAGGGCTAACTACGAACGCATTTAATATTTAATCTCTGTGTTTACCTTTGTGGCATTAACATAATATTTATATTTTAACTTTTTTACTTTTGTATTTTTTTTTCTCTCTTTTTTTTTTGTCTTTTTTTTTTTTGTAGTTTGTCTTTTTTGCGGCTGCTCGCCCATTGTGCCACACTTTGGGGCAAGAGTTAAAAGCACGCGTGGGAGCCACTGCTGCACTTGCTGCGTATTTTATGCCAATGTGTGCAGTGTGAGTGTGTGTGTGTGTGTGTGTGTGTGGTTGTCTCCTTCTCTCTCTCCCTCTCTCTCTCTCTCTCTCTCTCTCTTTCTGTGTATTTGTTTCAGTTTTTCCGTTGCTGACGCCATTTTCATAAGCAGCCGCAGCAACATTTTGTCTCTGGCCCCATTGTATATGCTCCACAGCTGTTGTTGTTGTTGTTGTTGTTGTTGCTTATGTTGCGCTTCTTTGTTGTTGTTGTTGTTGTTCTGTATCGCAGCGGCGTCTAAATAAGTTTTTCCGTTTCTTGTTTGCATATTTTAACCAATCCGTTTGTCGACTCTCCACACTCCACACACTTCCTACTCCCCCTCTCTTCTGCCCCCCCCTCTCTCTCTTTCTCTGCTCTGAGTTTGGTTTATTTAGATTTTATTGCATTGCATTTTCATTTGGCTTTTGCTGTGAGCTGCGGCAAAGGCTTTAATTAAATGCACAAACCCCAAAAAGCCATCAAAATTGTTATATTAAAAATCATTTTCGTAAAACAAACGAGGCAAAAGTTATGATGAGTAGGGACCCGGGGGGAGGTGGCTGTTGCTGCTGGTGCTGCTATAATCCAACAAAATGAGAGACAAATTACACACACAGTGGAGAGGCTGAGGCTGAGGCTGAGGCTGAGGCTGAGGCTGCATATGGAAAAGGCGGCCAGAGCGTATTATGAATTGTTTTTAATTGCATTGAATTTTTGCAGCCAGAGCAAAAAAAAAAAACAAAAAGAGAAAAAAGGGCAAAAATATGTAAAAGACAATGTTGCAAGCAGCAAAGCTTGTGAAACTAAAATCGGGGCCAACAACAACAACAACAACGACAGCGAGAAAATGAAACCAAACGCCACTCTGATTGTATATATGGAAAATCTTAAGTACAAAAACAAAACAAAATCGAGCTAAATAAAATTGAAAAAATTTGCCGCCTGTTGACGATGATTAAAAACTTTTCGAGACAGTTGACGTTGCACAAAAACACTCCGAAAATAATGTAAAAAAAAAAGTGAGGGAAACTCTTGTGCCACCCCCCGCGCCGCACATAGCCTGGGAAATTAGGTTAGTAGCGGGGCGCCACTGGCTGAATTGGCCTGGGGTGCCTGGAGAGTGGTTGAGGTGCTCGGGGTGGTCGCAGCACCACTGGCTGTCTATTCGAGTGGGGCGAATGGGTATGGGCATTTATGGTCACATATGCAATTTGATTAAAACTTTATAGAGACATATATAAGAAAGAAGGCAAGCTGAAATGGGCCCTGGGTAGGCTGTGCCTTCTCCGTAGATGCCCTGACTTAAATTTAAATTAAATAAGAGTCTCTGCTTTTAGCTTTGAAATTTGTGCATCGGTAAAACGGCTAAAAATTTAATGAGTCCGATTTTAAAGCCCAGCATGTCTAGTGTGCGTAACACACTCATTTTATTTATGATATATATATTTACTATGTATCTCAGTTATATATACAAATGAGAAAATTACTCACTTTCTCGTTATTCCTTTTTAAAGCATTTCAAATCAGTCTCTGCAAATCATTCAAATTTTTAACGGCTACGCAGCACATTGAGTGTCATAGCAAGCAGCATACTAACAGCAAGGTGGTGCTCATATTACGTAGCTCTGGCAAGGCTAGCCAATAACTGCTCAGTGCTGCCAGATTCTTCTCTGCAAGGGCGCGACAATTTAAATAGCGCTAAGTTCGCTCTTAACAAGCAAATTAGAGTTGAATCAAGTGCAAATTGTTTTTGACTACAAAAAAAAATTTTGTTTTTTCAATTAAATTACATACGTTTTCATGCTATATTATATTAAATAAATTACATTATATGACATTTAACTTTATATAAAAATACTATATTAATAATAATACTAATAATAATAATAATAATAATAATAATAATAATAATAATAATAATAATAATAATAATAATAATAATAATAATAGTGTTTTTATAATAAATTTTAAATAATTCTACCGTAAGTATAAAAAATTATTCAATTTTATTCATATTAAAATTTAAAATCAAATCACCAATTACTCTACACAACGTGCAAAACTTTCATAAGTTCCCAAATGCCCTGTTTCAAGTACCGCACAAATAACGGTAAACTTTTTGTAAATAAACATGGCTGCCATGGTATGAGCTTGTCAGAGAGCCAAACGCATTGAATGAAAACATAAGAGAGCAAGTGAACGACAGAGTGAGAGAGACAAAGACAGAGAGAGTGAGAGCGAGGGAGATAGAACAAAGGCGCTTGCTAGCTATGCGTGTGGGAGAGCTGTGGAATGCGCGCGCTTTTTTGTGCTACCAACAACAGCAACAACAACAAGGCGCGCCATAAACAGGAAGCTTTTTGTGCGATTGCACAACTCGGAGCGCAATTATTGCGCGACTGGCAATCGGCGCGGCAACAACAGCAAAAACGAAACGCTGCTGCAGCCGCCAAAAACAAAACATAGACAAACGATTACACAGCAAATAATAATAACGGTTAAATACTGTCGTGTGTGTGTGTGTGTGTGAGTGCGTAAAAGAGGCGGTTGGTCGCGCCGCCTCCTAAAACGTCGGCACCGACGCCAGGGCTGGCGCACAGCACAGCAACACAAGTCTAACGGCAGCTACGCCAGTCGCCAGTCGCCGCTTTGCATTCTAGGCGCTCGGCTCTGTTCCACTCCCATTCATTCGAATATTCATTCAGTGTGTGAGTGTTGATGAGGTTAGTTGTGAAAGCCCATTGTGTCGCGTCAAATGCTGAAAGTGCAGTGCGTAACCAAGTCAAAGAACAACTGAAAAAGTGACGAAAAAAGGAAAAGAAAAAAGAAAAAATAAAGAGCAGAAGCTGAAGAAAATACGGCTGAAAAGGATTCCCAAAAGTTTTGCCTGCGAGTCGCGCTGCTGGCGCTCGTCGACGACAATTTCTGTTGCATACTTCTTGGCTGGTCGCGAAAATCTCTGCGAACATGTTGGTAAGTTGCAGCGCATAAAAGTATGCAATGACTTTTCGCCCAAATTACATGAAATACGTGCAAATACCGTTGCATGGGGGAGTTGCATATGCCGCGCAGAGCGTATTTAGCGACAGCTGCCAAAAAGGGGGAGCATTCAATTGGATTGGATTCTATATAAATCCATAGTAGAGGGCAATTAAAAAATTTTCCAACAAATGATTTATTGATTTTTCCGCACTGCGTTTGTGTGAGTGCGAGTGTGTGTGTGTGTGTGAGTGTGAGTGTAACTGTGAGTGTGAGCGTTTCGCCTGTCTGTGTGCGTATATATTTTTCGGTATGCACTTTTTCCAGAGAATCACCCCACCGCACAGCACGAAGAGCAACAGCAACAGCAACGACAACAGAAACAGCAACAGCAACGGCAACGACAACGGCAACTATTGTCGGGCTCCAAACAACCCCCACAAACTAAAAACAGCGCCAACTTCTATTTTTCCATCATCAATACGATGGGCTGGCTTGCTCCACATGGAAGCATTTGCCATGGCTTTTTTGTCATTGGTATTGGTATTCGAGCAGGCGCTCTATGCAGCAAAAATACCAACCCCCAAATCAATGCACACACTCACACCCACGCACACACACACACACACACATACACATAGATATTGAAGCTTTAGCTGCTTTGGCATTTTGAAAACTACAAGCGAACGACTTTTCGCATTGGGTTGGGTGGTTGTTTTTCCTACCACCAGGCGGCGCATATCATAAATTTTGTGTCTATAACAATTTTTGGTTCTCCCACCGCCCACACACCCCCCTTCCAAAACAACCCCCCACCGCCCAGCACCCCCCAGCCGTCGCTCAATCGCATCAAAAAACTGCAAAGGAATTATTGTTGCAGTTTTCAAATCCAGCTCAAAAAGAGAGCGAGAGAGTGAGTGAAAGAGTAAGAGAGAATGAGTGAGTGAGAGAGAGCGAGCATAAGTTCTCTCTCGCATAGTGTCAAATATGTAGTTTGTGTGCGTGCTTCCTCTTCTCTGCTGTCCAGCTGCGTTCGCAATATGCACTTGCATTTGCTCCGTCTCTCTCGCTCATCCACTCTCGCTCTCCTTGTCTCGCTCACGCACTATTTGATTTTTGTGGGCGTGAGTTGGGCGCTGATTGCATATGGTTTTTGTGCTTTAGCTTTTTATGCAACATATGCGGCATATGCAAACATGTGTGTGTGTGTGTGTGTGGGTATATACATACATATATTAATATATACGTATGTTTGTGTCTGTGTTTTCATTATATAATTTGTATTTTGTTATTTATGTTCATGTATTTGGTGAAACTAAAATTCTTTCTAGCTTTTATTTTTCCTGTCGTTGCTAGGCAATGCAAATAAACGTAGGGCAGAGGGAGTGCAACGTAAGCGGGGGAGTTACGAATTCCGTTAGTTTGAGTTGAGGATTTTATTAGTATATTACACACACACAAATACATATGTACATGATTTATACCTTATATAAAATGCAAAACTTTATGCATTCCAATTTTGCTGCATGGGATTTAGCATATGTCTGTGTGTGCATTCAAATTATAAAGGATTTCCTATGTACATACATATATAGACATCGATTTATATGGACATATACATATATATATTCTGTAGTTGGTGGAATGAGAAAAATTTGTATGTCTATATATTTAAATATTAAATGCATCTAAAAGTTTTTGTGGTGGTTGCTGCAAAAACATGCATCAAATTCAATTACAATTTGTCAGACGTCCCATGATTTATATATAATACATAAAGATTATATATGTATATAACTTTCAATTAAAATGGAGAATTCTAGAGAGCCTCGTTTAAAAAGAAAAATCATATTATAAACAAAAAGATAAATATCTAGAATAATCATGAATGGCATGAGGATTCCAATCGATTCTTTAAAAAAATCAGATTTATAAAATATATAATAATATATAAAATAACCATAAAAGTTGTAGTATAAATTAAAGGTATCAAATTGTTTCTTAAAGACAATATCTTTAGATTTACATAAAAGTAATGGGAGTTATTTGTGCCTAAAGAAAGTGCAAGCTCTTAAGATATGTCTATGGAGACAAGCTTGTCTGCCCGCCAATACTTTTCAAGCTTAACTGAATTCAAATTTGTGAGCCTCTTAAAAAAAAAAACACGGCCATGATGAATCCCTTATTAACATGACCTAAATTTTAGTTATCTGCTAATTGATCAATTGTAACTTAAGGCTAACTCTCTTTATTCTTACTTGCTTCCTTTTCTACTTCCTTCTTTCTCTACCTTAAGGCTAACTCTTCTTTTCCTGGCTTTCTTCCTCATTTCGTTCCTTCTCTATCTTAAGGCAAACTCTATCCCTTTTCCGACCTTCCTTCCTGCGTGTCTTCTTTGCTTCTGCCTTCTCTAATGCCAATCATCGAAATAATTTGAGCATAGACTACATTATGACTATGGCATAGTTATAATATAATTAAAATAACCATGTAAATAAATATCTGATAATCTTTGTAATTGACTACTTTAGCTAATAGAGCTGTAGCAATGTCTTTTAACAAATACTATCTATACAATACCTCTCACATTTCAGTAACCATCGTATTTTTCTAGAATTGTATAGAAATTTCATACAGAGAAATTACTTCGTTTGGAGTGGCGGTGGCGTGGGGCAGCTAAACTGCTGACCATTTCCTGTTGATCACATTCCAGTTTTGACCCGCCACCAGAGTTGCCCCCACTAGCCGAAAACACGAATTCACCCAGAGCCCAGAAGCCCGTGACTCACAAGTGAGCAAAGGCCGACCGCAAAAGCAAATGCCGGGAACTGTATCCAAGCACATATATAAACAAACACACACACATATACATATACATACACATACACAGTTAGCTAGACAACGACTGAATAGATGTTCGGCCCACCCACGCCCACGTTTTCGAGTTTTTATAGTCGGCGAATTGCGCATGCGTTACCGTACCCTCGTCTCTCAGATACTGCCCCTACCCCTACCACTGCCTCTACCCCGCCGCCTACTCCAGCCCATGACCGTCCCACGCTAGGCTACGCCATATTGAATATGTGAGAGCGCCGTACGAGTGAGCGAGTGAGAGAACGACGATCGCAACCCACCCTATGGCCATTGTCTGTGCTGTGGTTGTTGCTGTTGCCTTGGCGAGAGGGTCAGGTTGGGCCCCTCTGTTCGGCGACACTCCACTTTTTATGTATATATACTTTTTTTTTTTTGTTAAATGAGACGTGACAAAGTGCAAGCAAATCGTGACGATCGGCAAAAGGGGGAATTGGGTACGTCCATGCTAAGGGATTTTTTGTGATCTTCGCCTGGCGCCTTATGGATGAAGCCCTACCCAGCGACACTTTCTCCTGCCTGAGGAAGGGCTTCGCCCAGTGACCAGCAACAGGTTTCCACCCAGCTCGTTTTGTAATTGGCTCTGCTCATTACGCAGCTTTCGTTATATCACCACATCACACACAAGTTCGTGCGACCAAGGATGGCCAGAGGTTAGCGGTTGACGGGTCGAGGCGTCGGTCCACCCGACAAGTGCAACAGCTGTGATATCGCTCGCCGAGCATCATTTGGCATTGCCAGAGTTCGATGTCGATCGACTGTGTTGGCTGTGTGCGTCTGCTGCTTTCCTTGGGCCAGTGGGCCACATGCTCACGTCTCGGGCCTCGTTAGTTAGGGCTGCTGCTGCTGCTGCTGCGGCTGCTTCAAACCGGTTCACTAGCCAGTGCTCCTTTGCAGCGGCAACGGTCTCGTCATCAGCCACCATCGCCACTTGAGTGGCAATGAAGTCTAAAAGTAGGGTGCTCCATTTCACTGACTAACCTGTTTTGTCTCTTGATCCGTAATCTGACGCATTGCGCTGCACTGAAGGCATTTCTGAAATGGTTTTGCCTGAGGCTGGGCTTTGTTAAGGGAGTTTATGGGAGCGTAAATAACTGTAAGAGTATATATTTGGAATGATGTGGACTTTAACAATTTTCTTAAGGGCAAAGCCAATTGAAAGATTAATTTATATTTTAAGCAATTTTTTTGTAGTTCATACTTTTTTGGGAAAACTTTAGAACTCATTTGATTAATAAATATAAATATTTATAAAATCGTAATTATTAAAGTAAAATCAATATTTTGTTAAATGTTTTATGTATTCTGTGTAGTAATATTTTATAAAATGCATTAAAATCTTGAAAAATAGTAATATATGTTTTGTTTTATTTATTTTGCATAATAAATTTTAATTATATAAACATTTAATGTTTATTCTAAAAACTAGTTAATATATAGTTTTTTAATATATAACATTTAACTCATTTTCATTACTTAAAATATTTTGTAAAAATATAAATAAAAATATATAAAATTTTTGTTTTTATGTTTTTTGCTTTTTTGAGTTGCCTCAATTATTATTATATATTTTATTATTTATTATTATGCCTTATGATTATTAAATAAATATTATTATAATTTTTTTTCCTTTTTTATATATTTCTTATCTTATAAGTTTTCTATTATGTAGCGCATCTGTCTGCCGAGTAACTGTTAGCTTCCTATACACTCTCATCTAAATGCATTTTAGTCCATTGCCACTTCACTAATTGATTCACCCGCTTCGAGACTTACTGATTAAAACAACAATCACAAGAACCGTAACTTTTCGCTACAATAAAAGTAATAAGAAGAACAGCAACAACAGCGAGGCAACAGCAACAGAACAATATCTGAGCAGAGCAGCGCAGTTGCAGCGCAGCTTGATGCGATACTTCTTCTTTCAGCCATTGATTGCGTTCAACTTTCAATTTCATTGACTGCGTCGCGTTGCTCTTGATTTTGTTTGTAGTTGCGAGTGGCGGCGTCGAGTGCAAGTCTTGCACTATTGAGGTATTTCCCTGTGAGTCATGCACATTTGCATAGCATTGACAGATTATTCAAGCCGAGTTTTTCTTTTGGCTTTGACTTCAGCCTAACCT